CCCGTAGACACAATCCCACACTGCTGAAGTCCTGCAGACTCAACCCCAGCTGCTGGATGACAGATTCCCAAACTGTCAACACCAAAATAACACCCAATTAATAATTGAGTTCCACTACATAACCATGAGTACATACTTTGGATAATTACTACATTACCCCAAGCTTGGCTTTATGCAAGCCCAAGGCCCAATCCATAGGCCCAAAGTCAACTAGGAAATCAAAGACCAACATATGACCCAATTTTCCAAATTCGGCCCAAGCCTATATATGGTCTTATTCTAAGGCCCAACCATTTATTCTAGTCCAACATTTGACATTCTAATGGCCCAATATCATATAATCATTAAGGCCCAAACTGTGGCCCATCTATGGCCCAATTTTCCAAATTGGGCCCAAGTCCCTTACATGGGCCTTACCCTAGGCCCATTAAATTATTTTAGCCCCTTAGCTTGTTCTTGGATGGCCTATTATTATCCCAATCATCAAAGCCCAATAGAAAGCCCAACTCAAGGTCCAAGTGAAACTAGGGTTTCACATAAAATGATGATTAGGGTTAAGCTTCCTACTTAACCCATTAAGGACTTAATCCATTAAGTCCCACATGACCATAGGTTAATTTGCAATGATTATTAATTATTAATTTAAGTTCATTAAACAATTCTCATGCGGTCCCGATAATCCTAAATTATGGTTTTATGGCTTTAGGGTTTTCTAAACCCTAATTAGGGTTTCCAACCCATATTAGCCCAATAGGCCCAATAGCTAGATCCTTAAGCCCATTAGGGTTTTGCTTAGGTCAATTAGGGTCCATTAGACCCATTAGGGTTTTCACTAAGCCCATTAGGCTTCATTGGGCCCGTTAGGGCTTACAAGGCCCATTAGGGTTTCAAGCACCCCAAACTAATCAAACTCAACGAGGCAAGTACACCGCCACCCGACAAGGCGGCCGGTGGCGGCAACCACCACCCTAAGGTGGTGGTTTTCAATTTCTTTTATTATCCTGATCACATCACAATTTACAATAATATCCAAATGACACACACACACTCATAAAATAACACACACGCACACACACAACCATACTGTGGTGTCCGACGGTGGCGCATGGCGGCAACCACCACCCTATGGTGGCGGTGATGCCATTTCTGAGAGCTACAGCTATACACACACACACACCAACTGAAACGCGCATCTTTGCTTCTTCACTCGGAAAGGAAAGCCAACCACCCACCTGGCGGCGTACGGTGGCGGTGGTGACACGAGGAGGCGGCAGAAACGGTTGATAGTGGTGTTGACGGCAATAACCACCATGGCCGGATGCCATGGTGGTTCTTCACGACATTACTCGGCAGAAGGCCTGCTCATGCGAACACAACAGCCCCCTTGGGGTGGTAAACGATAACCGGAGCAACAAGGGGAGTACACCGGCGGCGGTCTTGGTGGGTTTATGGCTCCAACACGGTGGCAGTGGCCTGAGACACAGCAAGAGAAAGACGGAGGAAGGGGCGGCGACGCGAGCGACGGCGTAGCAACGGGAAAGCAGCAGCAACGACGACACAACACCCTCCGTCGTTAGTGAGACAACAACGACGGCCTCACGGCTTCACCAGTGGTCTTCGTTGTCACCGACAGCAGGGGCACGACGATTGTTTAGGGTCTCAACGGTGGAGGAAGCGGCGACTGGGGATGAGGGTGGCGGCCGGCGACTAGAAGTTATAAGGTGGCGGCTGGGTGTTATCATTTAGGGTTAGGGTTTCTAATACACCTAACCATATATATGAAGGCTGCATGAGGGGGGTAGCGGGTGTAACCCGTGTTCATCAAACTTCTGCCCATTTTAACCATATCGGCCCCTCCCCACCAGAATTATTTTCGAAACTATCCCAAAATTTACCATTTAAACCCTGACCTCGAAAATCCTTTTCAAATCAAGTCCCATGAATTACCAAACAGCCCCCATCTTCTAAAATCTTTACAATTCAACTCCCTATGTTACCCCTTTAGCCCCCAATATCTTAATTATGACATATTCAGCCCTTCCACCTGTTTTCCTTTCAAATTAAATCCAAATAATTACCACGGAGCCCCTGTCTTTATAAATATTTACAAACTGAGTCCGAAACTCACACTTTTAACCTCCAACTTCTAAAATTGTGACAATTAGCTCTTCGAGACCATCCTTTTATATATAATTATTTATTTTAGGGCTATTATTCATTCATTAATTTGTTTATTTATTTAATAAATAAACAGGGTGTTACATGGATCCTGGCACACTGTATGCTATTATGAATGAAAGGCCAGGAGGTGGCTCCTAGCACACTGTATGCTGAGTAGCCAAGTAGAGTAGTATGTATGCTAGTTGTCTTTGTGATGCTTGCATGGAAGACCAGGGGGTGGCCCTTGGCACTTGTCTGTAAGACCCAGGGAGTGGCCCCAGGTTTGACAAGAAAGACCACGTACGGCCCGTGGCATAACAGCAAGACTATGTTTGGCACATAGCACCTTACTTGATTATGGATATGTTTGTTATGTATGGCTCACAATATGTATGACATGTATGGCCCAGTTGATATGTATGGTATGTGGTATTTGGGGAACTCACTAAGCTTCGTGCTTACGGTTTACAGTTTTGGTTTCAGGTACTCATGTTTTCAAAGGAAGGAGCTTGGGGCGGTTGCAGCGCATCACACTATGATTTCCGAATTATGTGATCTTTGGGGATTTGACACTGATATTTGTTTTAAATGAAATGTTTTCAATGTCTGGAACAACTTTATTAAAGGTTTTCTTATATTAAAAATGAAATTTTTGGCCTTGAATTTTAGGATGTTACAGTCACAATAGTCTTTTTAGGTAAGACAGTGACCAAACGCGCAACAAAAATAAACAATAGGAATCATCTGAGTTAAAAAAATAAGTTAGGGACCAAAAACACAAATTCCCCCAAACCATAGGGACCATTCGTGTAATTTACTCTTACTTTGGGTAACTATTTTTTTGTACACACATAGGTAACGAACTTGTTGAAAGTGTTCACATCTAGGATGTAACCTGCTACAGCCGGTCATAATGGTCATATGTGAACACTTCCAACAAGTTTGTTACCTATATGTGTACAAAAAAAAGATAGTTACCCAAATGTGAACTTACTGAAAAGTTAATTACCTTCCCCAGTCATTTTCCCTTTGCCAATGGCATTAGCCAACATTACCCTCCTCAAAACTTGCAAATTAAATGCATGAGATAGTTATTATATCTTCAATCGAAGTAGAAGAAAGCTTAATCTTCTATTTCTCCTTTGAATTCACTTGATTACATCATGAATGAGAGTTGAGCACACAACTCGCACCATGGGATGCACACATTGGGGAGTATGGTTGTTTACTGTTTGGATAAAACCGAATTGTCCAACTGGACAAATTGGATTGGACAATTTGGTTCAGATATTTGGATTTTGGGATTGGTTTTCAACCAAACCAAATTATTATTTTGGATTTCGGATTGGTTTGGTTTTTAAAATAAGAACCGAATAGTTCAAAAAAACCGAAAAACAATTTATTGTTATTTATTTTCAATATATCTATAATTATTTATTAACTTTATAATTTATTTTTTCAAATAAGTTTAAAAAATTTCGCCTAATAAAAAACATTAATATGCATTTTCTCTCAAAAGTTTTTATCTAGTAAATATTAAACTATAATATACATTTTTAGTAGTTGTTTATAAATTTTAAATCACAACTAAATAATTTGCTTTTGCTTTTTCTGTAAAAATTGAGTAATCTTATAATTATACGTCGTTTTAAAATGTTTTGATTTTTGAAACTGAATTATAAAAACCGATCCAACCGAATTGTAATTATATCAGATTTGAATTTAGTTTGGACTATTCAGATCCATATTTTGAAAATCGAAATCAAATTGGATTTACTTAATTGGATCGGATCGAACCGATCCATCAATTCGAACACCCTTATTGGAGAGAAAGATGTACGAAATGTATAAGTCATTTGAGCCTAAAAGAGACACAAAAGTGTTCCCCTTCTCCACTTACATCCCAATTGACCATAATGCCCTTATTACACTCATACCCATATTCTAGACATAGATAAACATATATAGTCCGTAGTGGAGATATATAACCCATTAAATAGACAAAGATAGACATCTATTAGGGCCACCCTAGCCCATATTAGGGCAACAAGGTGTTTTTTTGATGGCTAGATATCTAAAAAGAATAAGATTCCACTTGGTTTTTCATTTGTGAATTTTATTATGTTGACTTTGTGTGATTATATTTCTTGTTCCCAAAAAGAGGGGAAATTATGATTATTGTTCCTGGAAAGGGGATACGTTATACCCTATTTCTTATTCACGGAAAGAGGAGTAACAAAATATCATACAAGTTATAGTGCAAAACAAAACCACACAACAAATACTCTGACTTTTATGAAATAAAAAGCCTTACCATTGGTTATTTGTTCAGTTTTGGTTGTTTTGGTTGTTTTGGTCTACGGTTTTTACTTGCTCGAATGAACAAAACACCGGTTAAATTAAGAAAAATATAATGAGCACCGATGAGACACTACTACTTTAAATGATATTTTAGTATAAACTAATTTTTTCTAGGAATTATGTTATCTTTCCCATTTACATCTGGTTATTTGTTTATTTTCACTTTTTCCTATCACATGAATATTTATGTTTTTCTCCCTGATATGCATATTTGGATCGGATTCCAATTGCAGGCTTGCTTTTCATGTTTGATACAAGTAAACAGTGGGCTTCAAATTTTTTAGAAATGGGCCTTGTGTGAAGCTCATCCTAGCTATATAAATATATAACAACCGATTCTCATCGCATTTGCAGAAGCCCTAGCCGTCACGATGCAGATTTTCGTAAAAACCCTAACCGGGAAAACCATCACCCTAGAGGTGGAATCCTCCGACACCATCGACAATGTCAAAGCGAAAATCCAAGACAAGGAAGGCATCCCACCGGATCAGCAACGTCTCATCTTTGCCGGAAAACAGCTCGAGGACGGCAGAACACTAGCCGACTACAACATCCAAAAGGAATCCACCCTCCACCTTGTCCTCCGTCTCCGCGGTGGTGCTAAGAAGCGTAAGAAGAAGACCTACACCAAACCAAAGAAAATCAAGCACAAGCATAAGAAGGTGAAGCTTAGCGTGTTGCAGTTTTACAAGGTCGATGATTCGGGAAAGGTCCAGAGGCTGAGGAAGGAGTGCCCTAACGCTGAGTGTGGCGCCGGAACTTTCATGGCTAATCACTTTGATCGACACTATTGTGGAAAGTGTGGTCTTACTTATGTCTATCAGAAGGCTGGTGGAGATTAATTTATCAGGTTTTCGCTTTAAATTTATCATGAGACAGATTATTATTTGAGTTTTTTTAGATGTTTTTAAATCTGCGTTGAGACTGTTTTTGATTTTATCATATCATTATGAATTTTGGGTGATGATTTATTTTCATAGATGATGCTATTATCTTCGATATGAGATATCATGACATACCTTTGTATGATTCAATTGTTCATGAATATTGCAGCCCGTTTTTATTTGAGATTTATTGTTACAAGTGCAAAGTTTAATTAGGCCATTCCACATGTTCTTCATAGTTGAAGTATGTTTATTAGTCTAATACTTTTGGGAAAAATTTATTTGAATTATAATTTTCAGAATCTTTTATTTTATAGGAGTAAATCTTTTATTTTCATAATGTTCGTTAGTTTGATGAGATGAGTTAAATTTCATCTCATTCCAATAGGTATTATCAACTCATTGCCACATAAGTACAACATGTTTCTGAAATGTCTTTTTTATCACTTCCAAACGGTGATGAAATACCAACCTCAATCTTTCAAAATTAATTAGAAAGATAAGGAGATATTCACCAAGGTGACCGTTTTTCAAGAAATGTGACCACAAAGTTTGAAATTCGGTCAATTTGCGAGTTATGGAGTCCAAAAAGTTGTCCTAGGTACTTAATTATTTTTTGGAACATTTTTTGTTAGCGTTTCTTCTATTTCTTCCTATTTCTCTCAAATCTTGTAACTACTTAGAAAAAACAAGTGTAATAACTCGGTTTTTTTATAACTTTGTTTTATCATGGCTACAACATATGCCTCCGCCACAACCACCATAGGCAAAATCTATTTTGGGAGACATTGGAGTACAATGAACACAATGTAGTTGATAGTTTGACCTGAAAATATGTTTATAGGTTTACCATTTGCGTAGCTGCGACCCTTGATGACTCTCGACAATTAGTCTTCTAACATGACACACATCTTGATTACCCTGGTTAGCAATATAATCGAGTTTTGTATTCTATTGACAAAGAGGCTGTTTGTTTTTTTAAAAAACCTCTACATATCATTTTTTTGTTGCGCCACACAACACATGCTCATCACTTGTTTTCTCGCAACAATTTGTTTTATGGAAGACTTCACCGCAACTTTTGACTTGACTCTTCAAACTAGGGATGTTATTCGGGTCGGACCCGAACCGACCCGAACAAACCGAAAACCGAATAAGGGTAATTGTATGAACCGAAAACCGAACCAAATAAGCAATACGGGTTCGGTTCGGTTCGAGTATTATTCGGTTTGGTTTGGTTCCGGTCCGAATAACCCAAATAACATGTACAATATGATTAAGGAGCCGAATAACCCGTATAACCCGAATAACATTTAGAATGTGATTATAAATATTGTATTTTGTATGATTTTTGTAGCTTATGATTTCATAACAAATCTTGTAAAGAAACAAATTAAAAGATTGAGTAGTAGATTAACACATTCAAATTTCAATGAGTAACATACATAATAACACATTGAAAGATTGAGTAGTAGATTAAGATACAAATACTTACTTGAGTTTCTTGATTTGGAACCCAGTTTTTCATGACTTGAATGAGGTTTGATCACACTAGAAACTAGAAAACAAGGATGAGGAGACGATTATTTTTTCCAGACGCAAGGGCCGACTTTTATCGTGAATGCACTTTGAAATTTGAACTTTGAACTAGTGATGATCGATCAATGAGTTCAGGTTATCGCAAGTCGCAAGGACAACAGCCGCATTCGTCGATCAAAGAGTAATGTCGCAAGGATGAGAAAAACCTCAATCGATCAAAGAGTAATGTCGTCGACTCGTCGATTTGGTGTAATACGCTACTGTCGATTTGGTGTAATACGGACGATCGAATTCGATTTCGTTGATTTTTTTTGGTGTATTACGTGGGTTTTGTTGCGTAACGATCAATAGAAAAGAAGACCGAATAAGCAATCGAGTTAGGAAAAAAAATGTGACTTTTCATATTCGGTTCGGTCCTTTTGGACCGAATAAGACCTTATTCGGGTAACCCGGACCGAATAACCCCAAAAACCGAATAAGACTTATATAGATACCCGAAAACCGAATCGAATTGCTTATTTGGGTCTAATTCGGTTCGGTTCGGTTTTCGGTTCGGTTCGGGTTTTAGGGCCAAATTCTCATCCCTACTTCAAACCTCTTCAACTTTCGTAGCGATTTTTTTTTAAAATTTGGTATAACTTGATTTTTTATTTAAACTTTGATTTTTTTTTAAAACTTTGATTTACGGATTTGATACAATTTTTTTTAAAGTTTCCATAATTTTTTATAACGTGATTTTAAAAGAAAAACTTTGATTTTTAAGATTTTTTTTACCGTTTCTTTTAATAATAATTTTAGTTTCGGTTGCATCTTTTTAACATGTTTGATTTTTTACAAATTTTGTAGATTTTGTTTGTAATGTTTTATATTTTTTTTTGTTACTTTTTTTTATGTTTTTTAAAATTAGTTTTTTTTTTTTTTTT